CCCCCCCCTTCCTCACCTCTTGCCCCTTTCCTCGCAGGTTTCAGCTTCTCCCCCAACATGCAGCCTGGCGGCCAGGCCGCCAGCGGCACCCCCGGCTCCACTGGCTTCGGTGGAACTAGCTTCGGGACCAGCACTTTCGGATCAGGTGGATTTGGCACCGCAGCTACTGGCACCACTGGCACTGGCTTTGGCGCGGCTCCTGCCACTGGTGGCTTTGGCTCCACCAGCTTCGGGGCGACTCCCGCTAGTGGCGGCTCCGGCGCCACCGGCTTCGGCAGCGGTGCTACCCCGGCCGCTGGGGGCTTCGGCTCCGCCGGCTTCGGTGGTGCCGCCGCTGCTCCGGCCACTGGTGGCGGCTTCGGCTCAGGCACCACCGGATTCGGTGCCTCCGCCACGGGTACAGGCGGCTTTGGCGCCGCTGCCCCGGCCACTGGCGGCTTTGGCGCTGCTGCCGCTGCTCCTGCTGCGGCCCCTGCTGCGGGTGGCTTTGGCACCGGCGCCAGCACCCCGGCTGCCGGTGGCTTTGGCACAGCTGCCCCCGCTGCCGCTCCGGCTTCCATCAGCTTCGGCACTGGCGCGACCCCGGCCACAGGCGGTTTTGGAGCCACAGCTTCCACCGCTGCCACTCCGGCCTCCGGTTTCGGCACCGGTACCACTGGCGGCTTCGGTACCAGTGCTACTACCGACAACAAGCCAGCTACCACGGGATTCACCATGCCCACCTTCGGAGCCCCTGCCTCGGCCCCCACCGCGGCCACCGATTCCGCCACCAAGCCCACCGGTTTCGGCAGTGCCAGTACCACCTCCGGCTTTGGCGCAGGTGGCTTCGGCTCGACATCTGCTGCTCCGAGCACCACCACCACCACCGCCCCGACGGCCGATGCCAAGCCGACTGCTGGCACCGCTGCGCCCTCCTTCAAATTCGGTGACACAAGTTTCGGCAGCACCTCAGCGGCGACGACGACGTCATCGGCGACGGGCACCACCGCCACCGGTGCCACTGAGACCAAGCCCGCGTCCTCTGGCTTTAACTTCGGCTTTGGCAGCACCCCGGCCACCACTGCCGCCGCTGACGCCAAGCCTGCCACCGCTGCTCCTGCCCCGGGGGGCTTCTCCTTCGGTCCGACTTCTGCCGCGACGACCGCCGCCGCTCCTGCCGCCACTGCCGAAGCCAAGCCGGCTGCATCTTCGGGTTTCACCATGCCCACGTTTGGCATGACCTCCTCGAGCACCGCCACCGAGACTGCCAAGCCGGCCACGGGTGGATTCGGCTTCAATCCTGCCACCACCACCACCACCACCAGCACCAGCACCACGGCCACTGGTGATGCCTCGCCCAAGAAGACCAAGCCGACCGGTTCAACTGGTTTCGGATTTGGTGCTGGCATCGTGGCGGGGGCTCCTTCCACTCCGGCAGCCGACTCGGCTGGCGGTGCCCCGGCCACGCCGGCTGGCGCTTTCTCCTTCAATAACAAGGCCACCAGCGGCACGACCACCGGCACCGCCGGCACCACCGCCGCAGCTCCGACTGCCACTGCTGGCACTGGGGCGGCCGCTCCGGCCGGCATCACCTCGGGATTCACCATGCCCAGCTTTGGCGGGTCATCTTCGAGCACCACTGCCACCGGCACCGGCACCGGCACCGGCACCGGCACCACCACCACCACCACCGACACGGCCGGCCCCTCGGAGGGCGGCAAGCCCACCACCACGATCACCACCACCGGCACCACCACTACCCCGGCGGCAACCGGTGATGGCAAGCCCGCGACCGGCGGTTTCGGCGCTTCTGCCACCACTACCCCGGCTCCGGGAGGGGACTCCAGCAAGACGGCTGCCGACCAGTCTGCCCCTGGGCAAGGCCTCAGCGCCTCGGCTCTGGGTGCTGCCCCGGAGAAGGATCTTTCCCTGGACTCGAGCGCCATCGCTCGCGGGATGTCCTGCAAGGTGCGCACCTTTTCCCCACCACACTCGGTGCCTCTGTCGCTGATGCTTGCGGGCCGTTACTAAGATCCCCGCCATGGCTGTCCCCCTTTCTTTCTTCCATCCCCTGGCAGACCGTCGAGGAGCTGCTGACCGAGTGGGCCACCGACCTGGACTCATATGTCGGTACTTTCCGGAAGCTGGCCTCTCGCGCGGCGGACCGCGATGCGTCCATTCTGGCCAATGAGAGCCGTCTTTTGGCTCTGCACGATGAGGTGGCCTTGACCAACCGCCTCCAGAAGGAGATTTCTGTGCGTCCGAATCCGTTTCCACTCCTCCTGCCGCCATGCTACGTGCCTGCTGCCCTCCCTGTGCCCCTTCCCCCTCCTCCATGGCTAATCCCCCCCCCCCTCCCCATTCGTCGTAGAGCAACATCGAGTACATCACCACTCAGCAGACCGATCTTGAGCGCGCCATCGATGCCCTGGAGTCCGAGGTCACCATCATGCTGAAGCAGGCCGGCGACACCACCTCAGCCGATGCGCAGCGCTTGAACTAGTGCGTTGCACCCCCCTTGCATCTCTTTCTTTCTCCCCCCCCCCGTCTCCGCCCCATGCCGTGTCCCGAGTCGGCTTCTAACTTCTCCCCTCGCAAACCCAGTCTGAGCTTGGCGGAGAAGCTCAATTCCCAGTTGGATTCGATGGAGCTGCGCCTCGAGGACCTGGTATCCGACGTTAACCAGTTCCAGGATCAGTCGTCCGGCATCGACGCGGCGTCGCCGGTTTCGGCGGCCGCCTCCGCCACCTCCGGGGCCGCCGGCGTCGGGCAGGCCGTTGCCAGTCGCGCCAACTCCCTGAGCGTCATTCTGGACATCCTGAACAACCATCTGGACACCCTGCAGTGGGTGGACAAGCGCACGACCGAAGTCCAGCGCCGTCTGTCTGCTGTGGAGGCGTCGAAGCGCCGTCTGTGAGTAGCTGCCTGGAAGGAGAGCGGCAGCGTCAGGGAGGGAGAAAGGGGGGGGGGAGGCATCCTCCTTTCCACCACCATCCTCGTGCGATGTCGTACAATCTCATCGTGCTCCCCTTTTGTGTCTACCCATGCTCCTTCCCCCCTGTCGCTCCCTGTCTCCTTCTTTCTTTCTTTCCCCCTCTCCTACCCTCTCCCTATCTCCCTCCCCCCCCCTCTCTCTCTCTCTCTCCCTCTATTCCTTTCCATCTTCCACTCGTTTTATTGGCTGGCCTTTTGTGACCCCTCTCCTTTCGTGCAATACGTGCTGCGTGCCCTGTTCCACGACCACACGTGCGCCCTGTCCTTTTTGCTCCTTCTCTCCCTCTCAGGAAGCATCCCCCCCCCCCAATACACCAACCGCCTCCCTGACTGATGCCCAGTCGCGCCAGGGGCCCGATCGAAAGGTGAGCAGCAAGGCCCAGGCCAATGGCGGCGGAACAGACTACCTGCGGGTGGAAGTCCCGCCAAGCATGCTTGTGCATGCCTCGACCAGAAGGGGTCCCCGGAGCGCGGCATGGCGGCCGATCGGCCATCTGCCAACGGGGGCGGCACCGTCAGGTGGGACTTGACACCTAAATACAAAGAATCTACAACACCAGATTGCATGATTTTGTCGAAGCAACGCGCGGGAATGGGCGGCTGCTTCCACCGTTATTCCCGCTCAAATGCACGTCCGGCCCTGCATTTCCAGGCGTGGACAGACGACCAGGTCGGAGCAGTATTAGCTCCCTTGCCTTGGGAGGGGGGGGGGGGGGGGGAGAGGGGCAGCCTTGCGCGGTGCGCAGGTGTGTCAGTGTGATCGTGCGAATGCCTCTTGGACGAGAGCACCTCCCGCCACCCCAAGGACCCCGCCCTGGGGAAATGCTGAGGTCTACAAGGGTTCGGAGGCCAAAAGCTCTGCGCCCGCTAATTAGGGTTGTCAAACGACCTCCCCCCGGCCCCCCTCTTGAGAACGGACATGCTAACACTCGGCCCCCCGGGGCGCAGGGCGCGCGGGGCGGGAGCACGGGGCGCGGGGGGGCGGGGGGAACCGCGGGGCGAGAGCTGGCAAGTGTCCGACCGGACCAGTTGCTGTCCGCCGTCCTTGATGTGCGTGTGTGTGGGCGAGCATGCGAGTGTGTGTGTGCCCTTTCCACTGCAGGCAGTCCAAACACCGGAGCCAGCGTATCCGCGGTGTTTTCGCGCCGGAGAAGACTACCAGTGTAGGAAGGTGGAGAGGGGGGGGGGGGAAGCCGAGTAGGCACTGACCACAGGCCAGTACCTTCCTGTGGTGGAACAAAAGGGGGCTGTCTGTAGGTCCCAGTGAAACATTACCACCTGCCAGCGTGGCTTGCCCTCTCGCCACGCCGGTCTCGGCTTCGAAGGGCGATAGCCCCCTTTGAACGGTCGGTCGGAGGGCTCTTGGCCAGCCTCCAGACCGATTTCCAGATGCCCAGGGTGGCGTGAGTCCTGTCGGCGGAGATGGCTCTTCCAATGGCCTCTGCCCTGTGCAGGGCGTTAGGGTTGCCTGCAATGGTGGGAAGTCGCGGTCACCACATGCTCCCAGGCGCCAAGCTCACCCCTTTTGATGGGCTATTTGCTCGCCAGCAAGCGCCTCCCAACACCTAAACTGCCCGCCGGCCTTTCAAAGGAACCTGCCTTTGCACTTGAGGGCATTTTCCCGCCCAGAAGACAAGCCACCTCTCCCCTCCCTCTCCCTTTCCCTGCCCACTGTGTCGGTGTTTCGCCTCTCCTCCCTGCCACTCTCCTCCCTGCCGCCGCCTCTGTCGCTCGTCCTCGGACAGGCCGCCCGGGCCCCGCCGCGCGTGCCCCCGCCGCTCGCCCCCTCTCCCTCCCTCCCCTCGCCTCCTTCCTCCCGTATCCCGTCGGCCCGGGCGACGTCTTCTCCCCCGGCTGGAGCTCCATCCCCTCTCGGCATCCCGTCGTCACGCCTCCCCGGTCATTTGTCGCCTCTCCGCCGTCGCACATCGTGTGTCTTCCCGCCCCCCCCCCCCGCCCCCGAAGTGTGTGGTCCTGGTCGATCATTCTCACACTTGGTCCTGCGCGTTCACCGTGTAATTTGCAACAGGAAGTGCATAATCGGCTGAGGGCCATTTTTGTGACAAGGGTATTTTCTCGATTTCCCTAAAATACCGCTCCGGGACCCTATCCCACTACCCTTACCGAATATCCCCTCCCCTTCCGCAATTTCCCCAACTCACATTTCCTCCGTCTCTCACCTCCCCCCTCTCTGCCCCCCCCCCCCCCCCCCCCCCCCCCCCCCCCCCCCCCCCCCCCCCCCCCCCCCCCCCCCCCCCCCCCCCCCCCCCCCCCCCCCCCCCCCCCCCCCCCCCCCCCCCCCCCCCCGCCCCCCTCTCTCCCGCCCTTTTCGCTCCCCTGTCGGTCCCTGCCCCCATCCCCCCGCAGACCCAAGCATGAGGCCTCGGCGGCTTGACTTTGCCCGGCGCCTGGCGGTTGTCCATCTCGATCAACTGCCGGCGGCCGAGGCGGCAGAACTCGCGCCCCCGGTTTCCTCTGCGGCCGGCATTGCTGGAGGTGCGATCGGCGGCGTGGCTAGCGTCTCCGGTCGCGGTGCCTTGCACATTGAGACCGGTGTCGACAAGGAGGAGGAAATCGTGCGCATCATTCCCTCTCCTCCCCTTCTCACCCGGCGGCCGACACTCACCTGTTTTTCATTTGGCCCCCAACTGTGTCCATGCCGTCCCCCCCCCCCCCCCCCCAGGAGCACCATCTGCAAGCCGTCATCTCCGCCGCGCAATTGGATGATGACGCGATCCCCGTGGCTGACTCCACGCCCGGTGACGCGGCTGGTGAGTCCGGGACGTCGGCCGACGCATCGGGCTCTGCATCTGCCACTCTCGGTGGCGACGGCAAAGCCGGTGCCTCCTCGGTGGTTCCCCTGCCATCTATCCCCATCCCTGATGCCAATCGGGAGATCGACAATTACGAGCAATTTTACGCCCTCCCGGGGGCCGGGTATGAGCGCCCGCAGCTTCCGGAGCTGGCGCAACTCGGAGCCCTGCGCGCATCAGCCAAGGACCTGCTGGCCCTGCGTGATACGGCTGAGTATGACTTGCGCGAGGAGGACATCGAGTGGATGAACAAGTGGAACTCTGCGCCCGGACGCAGTCCGCGTGCCCTGCTCAATGAGGACCTCCTGGAAAGGATGCTCGTGCTCTTTGAGAAAACGGTGCGCAGCCATTTGCCCTTTTTTCCTTCGCCCCCCCTCCCCCTCCGCCTCCGCTCCCCCCTTTGGCTGTGCACTTTCCCTGTCTGGTTACTTAGTCCTCGCCTTCTGCCCATTCGGCTTGTGGGATGTATGCCGATCATTTGCCCCACAGTTCCCCGATGCCAATACCGCCACTCAGCCCCAGGTAACCGGAGTCCCGACGGCCACGGTGGCCGGGGTGTTCGAATACTGGCGCAAGATCAACATCGAGCGTGGGGGTCGCATTCATTGGTACTTGCAGGGCGAGACCAAGCTCAATGATCCCGATCCATATGTGTGCTTCCGGCCGCGTATCATCCAGCATACCCGCAAGTCCCGACGCCTGGACCAGCAGATGTATCAACAGCTCCGGGCCCTGCGAACGCATCTGGTGGCCGCGCGTGAGACGCTCGATCTGACCATTCGGCGAGATCGCATCAAGCGCGAGGGCTTGCTTGTGGAAATCCTCGAGGCCGATGGGCGTGCACGTGCTTTGGCCCTGGCGGCCAGGTATTCGTCCCTGAGCCAGACGTCGCCGATGGCGGCCGCCACGTCGGCAGCCGCGGCCGCCGCGGCCGCCGCGGCCGTTGGCATCCCGGACGTACCGCCTCCCAGCAAAGTGGCGCGCAGCTTCGTGGCCGGGACCCTTGCAAGTGGCGGTGCCGCCGGGGCTGCCCTCCCCCTGCAAGCGTCGCTACTCAAGACTGGGCGTGGTGGCGCAGTGGCCGCTGGCGATGGTGCCCTCGGCGATCGCCCGATCTCGCTCACTCTTCCCGGCTCACCGGCGGCCGTCGCGCGCGATGGCCTCACCCTCTCGGTGTCCGCCGCGGGCAAAGTGTCAGCTGGTCGGACTGGATCCGCGGGATCCGGCGTGCGAGGCCCGGCCGCTGGCAAGCCCGGCCCCACGGTCTCCGGTGATGCCACTGGCGCATCGGCACCGGCCGCGGCTGCTCCCGGGGGTCGCCCGGGATCGGCCGTCGAAGATCCGGCCGTTCCTGTCCCGGCCCCTGTGGACTCTGATGGTTCTTGCTTGCCGACGGGCGTTTCGCTGCATCTACCGCTGGAGTATCCCCCTGTATTGGGCACCGACCCGCAGTACCAACACTCACGCCCCTGCTTTGGGGACATGCTGCCGGTGCCCAACGCCAACGCCCTGGATCCGGCTGGTTTGCCGCTCTGGTGTGATTATACCACGGTGCGTCCTCCGCCCTTCTCCCGGGGATCGCCTCTTCGCCTCCTTGTCCTTTTTCTTTTTTTTTCCCCTTCTTTTCGCCGTGCCGCCTCCCACATGCTGATGGTTCCCGCCCGGCCTTCGCGCATGCCTGCCCCCCCCCCCCTCCCCTCCACAGGGCGTCAATCTTTTCCCGGATCCTCTGTCACTGGAGCTGGAGCGTGCCGAGGCGGTCACCGCCTTCGGCAATGTCTATCTCTACCACCCTCTGACTCCGCCATCGTCGCCCCCGGGCGGGAGTGAGATGGCCCCAGCTGAAGCGCCGGCGGCCCCATCCGCGGCTGCCTCTTTAAAGCGCACTTGGGCGGCGGCCTTTGACAATCCGCCCCCGGCTGCGGCCGGCCCGATGCATGGTGCCACCGATGTGGCCACCTCTGCTTCGATTGGCCAACATCTCGCAAAGGTCTCCTGTCCCATTTCCTCGCCCAACCTGCCAAGTGACATCACCCAGCCACTTGCCAGACCTTCCCTTCCCTCCTCTTCAGACCCTGCTGCCAGCAGTGCCAGCAGTGCCAGTGTGCCCGATACCGAGGCGCTCCTGGCCCAGCATCAGCCAGCCTTCAAGGTTGAGACCTTGTCCTTTGCGCGCGTCCGTCGCGGCCGCGGCGGCCGCATGATCATCGACCGGGGCTGGCAGATGTCCCAGACTTCGCAGGTGTGTTTCCCGGCTCCTCCTCCCCCTTGCTCGTCTTTGGGCCGTCATGTGACATTGTTTTTTCCCCTCCCCCCTGCGCCTTACCCGTTGGGCTTCACTCACCATCTGTTCTCGCCCTCCCTCCCTCCCTCCCCCCCCCCCCCCCCCCCCCTGCCGCCGACGGAACAGCGCTCCACTTTGCCACAGCCATATGGCTTCTCCACGCCGATGACTTGCGACATGTCCTGGCGCGCGACCGACCCCTTCACCAACCCCACGCGGCTGCAGTCTCGAGCGTCGCAGATGTTCGGCTCGGCCACGGGGATGGTGAATCACGCCACCGCCGTCGGGCTGGGCATTGCCAATGACTCCTGGCGACACCCCTTCTCGGTGCCGGTGCCGCACTTTGCCCCGAGCGAGCTCGTTCGCCTGGCTGGTGGACCAGGCCCAGTCGAGATTATCCCCCGGCTGCCTGAGCCGATTGCCCCGATTGCCCCTCCGCCGCCCCCTCGCAAGAAGGCCTCCGCGGCCGGGGGGGCCGCCGCCGGAGCAGCCGGGACCAAGGGTGCTGCACGCGCTCCTCGGCCGAGTGGTGCGGGTTCTGGCGCTTCGCGGCCGCCGAAGGCCAGTGCCACCGGCGCCTCACGGCCCTCCAAGGCTGGCACCGGGCAGCCTGGCGAGAAGAAGGCCACCAAGGCCTCTGGAACCAAGAGCGGCGCCGCTCGCCGGGCCACCACTCCCAGTGGGGGAGTCAAGGCGGCAGCGGCGGCAGCGGCGGCCGCGGCCGCGGCGGCCGCTGGCGGCACAGCTGCCGGCCCGCCGGCCCCCACCGCCTCGGCGTCTGGTGCCGGCGCCGCCGCCGCCGCCGCCGCCGCTCCGAAGGCCTCTTCCAAGAGCGGCGGACCCGCGGCTGCTGGGCGTGGTAATCCCTCTGCAGCCGGGGCGGCCGGCGCCGGGGGTACTGGCGCCGCGCGTGTGGCCAATCGCCCGGGTAGTGGTGCTGGGACGGGCGCGCGTCGTGTTGCTCGTCCCGGCGCCCCGAGTGCTGCTGGCGTCGCCTCGACGAAGTCCGCCGGGGGGACTTCCGGTGCTGCTGCCTCGGCGGGGGGTGGGGCTGGCGCCGCTGCCGGGTCGGGTGCTGCTGGCACCACCAAGCCCGCTGCCACGACGGCCACGGCAGCCACCAAGGCCACCGGCGCGACAGCCCCAGCCGGGGCGGCGGCCAAAAAGTCGGCCACCGCTGGCTCGGGCTCCGCAAAGCCCGCCGCTCCACGAGTCAAGAAGGCCAAGGCTGCGGTCTCGGCCGCGGCCGCCACGCCAGCCGCCACGTCGGCGGCACGCGGCGGCGCCTGACGGAGATCTGCCTTATTTCTTTCCCCCCCTCCCCCCCCCCCCGCGGCAAAGTGCCGAGGCGTGCCCAATACACCCAACTGCCAACCTTTGTTGCGTCTCTTGGATGGGGCATTCTTTCCTAAATTCCCGCCCGTATTATGTGCTGGCGTGCGGCGCCCGGTGCCGTGGCGGCGGTCTGAGTGGATGGTCTCTGGGGCTATCCTTCTCCCACATGCCAAGGTCTCCTTGTTATTGTCTCTTCTGTCTGGGGGGGGGGGGAGGGGGAAGGGGGAAGGGTGCATTCTCGCGCTACCCCCCCCCCCTGCCGGGTGGCCTGGGGCGGCATCGCCTGTTCCATCGGGGCTTCTAAACGGGGGCGGCAGGGGGGGGGGGGGGGGGGGGGGGGCGTGAGGACCCCGGGCTTCCAAGTTTGTCCGGTATTTCCACGAGCACGACCCCCTTTCCCCCAGCCAGCTGGATGATGTGGAGGGGCGAGGAGCCACTCGAGCCCCGATGCGCCCCCCAGGGTCGAGCTGCCCCCCCCCCCCCGCATTTTGTCTGGGCCTCCGGGGTCGCCCTCGGGAGGGATATACACTCTTCGCGCGGCATTGCAATCGCCCGGCGTCGACGCTCATCGGGCAACCGCTCTCCTTAGTCCCTATTGAGTTGCAGCTTTCTCCCCCCTGCCCCGCTTCTTTGCCCTCCCCTCCTCACGTATCTCCCGGCTTGTGGCCTTTCCGCTCCGCCCTTTGCCCCGCTTCCCTGTGTCAGACCCTCTAACCACCGCCGGCTCCCATGAATTCCAGCAGTCCACCATGTCCCACTCCAGTGGTATCGCCCGTGCGTTCGTCCTGTCGCCTCCTTTTCGTGGTTGCCCTCTTCGTGTCCCGCTGACTCCGTGCATGCTCCTCGCCTCCCCTTCCCCCGTGTGCACCTACACAGCCTCTAGCGGCCTTGTCCAGGCTTTTACCTCGAGCTCCTCGCTGAACTCGCCGGTCCGTCTGATCAAGGCCGAGATCGTCGACGGTCCGTATCTCCCCTTTCCTGTTTCCCGCCTCTGCCAGCCGGCCGGCCTCCCACCCGGGCGTGTGCCCTCCAACTGACCCACCCCCCCCACCCCACCCCACCCCCACCGATACACGCAGAGTCCATCGAGGCCGTTGAGAAGTACAACAAGATCTCCGACTGGAAGTCTGGTGCGAGCCGGCCCGCCCTCAGCCCCTCCCTCTCTCCCTCCCTTTCCCTCCTCCGTTCTCACCTCATACCCCTGCCCAACAGATATCTCCATGATTGCCCCTCTGCTGGCCGACAAGGAGCCGTCCTTCTTCCTGCTGAAGACCGACGAGGCCGCCCCCGCCACCTCGGAGGAGGGTTCCCAGAACCCGGATCAGGCCGGCTGGGTCCTGTTCTGCTATGTGCCGGACCATGCCCACATTCGTCGGAAGATGCTGTACGCCTCTTCGCGTGCGACCCTGACCAAGTCCCTTGGTCAGAGCCAGTTCATTGATGAGTTCTACGGCTCGGAGAAGGTGCGCGGTGCCAGGCCTCGCGCGCCCTTTTTTTTTTGTTCCTGACTCCCCTTGCCACTCACCCTGTGTCTGCCTCCCATCGCCCCCCCCCCCTCCCTCCTCCCTCCCCTCTCTCCCCCTTCACAGGCTGAGTTCACCACCGACGGCTACAATGCCTACCTGAAGTCGCATGCGGCCGACAAGCCGCTCTCCTACCGCGAGGAGGAGATGCTGAAGATCCGCCTGGATGAGGCGACTGGTGATGTGAGTGTCTCCACTCGGCGGGCGCACGTCCATGGCGTGGACCTGCCGGCTGACGCCGCGGCCCTTGAGGCCCTTCAGGGCCTGGCCGCCGGGCGCCTGAACTATGTCCAGCTCACGGCCAACATGCAGACCGAGAAGGTGGAGCTGGTCCACTCGGCGACCGGCTTCAATCTGGACAATGTCCAGTCGGTGACGGAGCCCAATGTGCCGCGCTTCCATCTGGTCCGTGAGCCGTCTGCCCGCGGGGCCGAGGGCGACACCCTCTTTGTCTACTGCTGCCCGCAGGGGTCGCCGGTGCGCGCGCGCATGCTCCATGCGTCCTGCCGCGCTGCGGCCATCGGCGCGGCCAAGGACTCCGGTCTGGCCCTGGCTCGTGTGGTGGAGATCGGCGACATTGCCGACCTGAACAGCGCCTTTGTCCAGGAGACCCTCCAGCCGACGGTCACCGGCACTGAGGCCGCCAATGCCGCCGGCATCGCGCGCCTCAAGTTCGATCGCCCCCAGCGCCCGGGCGCCCGGCGCTAAGGGAGCAAGTGATGGGGGGGGGGGGGAATGGAAGGTGGGGTGAGGTGCCTGTGTTTCACCTATGTGCGTGCACTCGGGCAGGAGGCCATCGCCGCGCGGCCGAGCAGGTCAACCGCACACACACACACACACACACACACACACACACACACACACACACACACACACACCATGCGCCTTCGCCTAATTGTGCATGGCCAGGCTGAGGAGGAACACACAGGCCACGGGCCAGGTGCCTGTAGCCGTCAACCCGCAGCTCCCCCTCCCGTGTTTCGCGGGCCCCCGAGTACAAGATGGTGTCTGCGGGCCCGGTGCCCGCGGCGATGTGCCGTCCTTCGCGTGCAAGCACTCCATCTGTCTTTCCTCCCCCGCCCCGCGTCTCCCTGCCCCTTTTGTTGGTCATGCTTTTCGTATAAGCTCAAAGGAGCCTGGGTTTATGTGTCTGCCTCTCTCTCCCTCCCTCTCTCCCTCCTCCCCTTGCCCCTTGTCTCAGGGGATCCCCAGATGTATACGTGCCCGCGCTGCATGCCGGTCTGTGTGTCTGCTGTCACCAATACACACTACCCCTGATTACCCGTGGCTAGCCACCACCATCCATTGCTCCCAGGCCGCCATGTCGACTGGCAGTGGGTGCCTGCTCCACCTGGCTGCCTCGGCCCCCCCCCCCCCTCCCAGACCGCTGCATTCGGGTGGCCAGGCAAGGGAAACGACCGTCGCGGACATGACAATCACAAGTACATACGCCCTACCTGGGGGACACGGAGGCGCCGGCATTCTCACCCAACGTGAGGCTGGTAGTAGGCCGAGTGTTGAGCCGACACCATGCGCCCTCCCCCCCCCCCCCCCCAGTCAAACAGAGCGTCTACCGAGGCAGCAGAAAAGGAGAGCCTCATATACTGGGGGGGAGATGGTGCCCGGAGCGAGGCAAAAGGCGGCCAGTTCAAAGATGAGTACACGTGATTAGGACCATCGCTAGATGCTAACGGGAAATGTAAACACCGATCTGGAAGCCCGCCGCCCCGGGCGAAGGGCGACCGCCGGCCGGGACAGCAAATATAGGATGCAGGCATGCAAGCATGCCTGTGCGTGCTAACGAGATAGCCGCGTGTCAGGGATCCGACCAAGCGTGCGCCACTCCGGGGCCGACCGCTTGCCGGCGTCGGCCCCCGGCAGCCTGGCCAGCCCCCCCCCCCCCCCATCACCACCCGTGGTCCTCCTCCCCAGGACTCCGTGTGCTGCGACGGGCCTGGGGCGGCGTATTCTCGACAGGGGCAGACCGGGGGGGTCAATGCTATTTTCCGTGGGTGCGGTGTTCGCTGCCGGAATGCCTTCGCCCAGTCTAGGGGAGAGTGATGTGCGTGGACGGGGCACACTGGCTGCCTTGGGAGGTGCGGCGCTCGGGCTCGCCCAAACTGCATTTCATCGCTAATCAGCGCTCGTCGGAGGTCGCCGCAGCCGCGTGCGGTCCGAGCCTCCTTGCGTCTTAGTGGGCACCCAAGGGGCATGTGCAGGGGGGGGGGGGCGGCGGCAAAAAAACCCGGATGCCCAAGGTGGGGCCAGCTAGAGTCCCAGCATAGATGCCCTTTCCTGGAGCGATTCCAGGAAATTGGGCGACTCCTGGGCGCTCCCTGACACACGGCCCTCCCTTTCACTCGGCCTCAAGAACACGAGGCACGCCTGTGCCCCTCAATCGTTTCCCCCGTTGCCCGCGCGCACGACGAAGAACATGCAGGATGTGACCACCGCTTTTTCTCCACATGTCCCCCCCCCCCCCCCCCCCGCCCGCCAAGCTGGGCGGCCGCGGGCCGGACCGGGCGGTGCGCTCGGGGCCGGGTGCGGATGTGCTGGGATCGTAGATCCCCTGTGCCCGGGGGCGCGCCCTCCTCCAACAGCACAGACACAGGGGACACCACGCCCGGGGCGGATGTGCACCATGTTTTCCCCAACCCGGTCCTGGGGAAGGAGGCTGCCGGCGAGGCACGAGTCAAAGATGTCCAAAACTATCGCCATTATTTGCCGGGAGCTGGGACCTCCCGATAGGGGGCGAGGTCCCATCGCGCCTGCACGCCTGCCGAAAAGACGAGCCGCGACGCGGCCTGCCACGCCAAGGTGGCCCTGGGGTAGGTGGTGCTGCCCCACCACAGCGAGGGAATCTTTTTGCTTGAGGAGGGGGGCACTGTGGCTATAGTTCGTGTTGTTGTTGTTGTTGTTGCTGACGCTGCTGTTGTTGTCGCTGTTGTCGCTGTTGTCGCTGTTGTCGTCCTCCGGCGCGGCCCTGTTAGTACCCCTTTTCTCCTCCCCGACTTCCGGGAAACCCACGGTGGGGCCGCCGCGGCCTCCTTCAACGACGACCCGGGCCCAACTGCCCATGATGCCCTGAGGGCGAGCCGTACACCGATTCCCTCCTATTCAATGATGTTCAGTCTCTTCCCGCCCCCCGGGGGGGCGTGAGGACCCCGGGCTTCCAAGTTTG